GACACCGAAGGCTGTTTAGCTCTCTAGGGGCATCTGTTCCCCGTTTGAGGTGTTTTGGACGCTTGTTGGCCTGAGGAGGACAGGCAGGAGTGGATGTCACTGAGCATGTGGGGTGCTGTTTCTAAGCTGGTCCTGTGGACCAAGTGGCTGGGCTATTTTAGGTCCTCATCGTATTTCTGCTGTTTGTGGAGCTTGACTGGCAGTACCCACTGAGGTGCTCTGCTCCTTGCCACGTCATCCATCAGCAGCTGGGCTAGAGGGCAGGCAGCTGTAGGTCCTGAGATAAAATTGGGGGGTGGGGGGACAAGAAGAGGAAAGGCTTGCTTATGTGTGCTGTGTGCAGATGTCACTGTGTAGTTAGCAGCTTTCCTATGACTTTGACCTTTGACCCCGCTGCCTCCCTTTGGATACTCTTGCCCCGTGTATTTCCCAAGCTCCACAGGGGGATGCTATCGTTTTAGGGCCTTGGCAACCCCAGGGACTTTGTAGGGTTTTGCTGGGCTACTGGTACCCAGGTGCCTTCCTGAACCACTGTTTCTGTCCCCAGTCGGGAAGCAGAGAGCAGTGGATGCTGTGTTTGGCTTACTCTCTCCTTTTCTGCAGTCCAGGGCTCCAGGCTGCGGGTGGAAGGCACTGCCTGTATTTAGTTCCTCTGTCCTCATACAGCCTCATTAGACAACCCGTCACAGATAGCCGCTGTACCTAGCCCTTCCTCCTTTTTACAGTTTAACTTCGTGTCTTCTCACTAGTCTGTGTGTGCAGCGTATGTATGTGTATGTGCACAGGTGCAAGCACATGAGTCTCCTCATGTGTTCCGAGGTCACACTGCATGTGAGAGTCGACTGTTGCCGTCTGCTGGTGCAGGGTTCAAACACTGGGAGGCTTGGACTGGCAGCACTAGTACTGCCGAGCCTTCCAACCCACTGCCTTTTTCCTGAGACACGTTCTCACCCTGGTATGCACTGACCTGGAACTCACGGCAGTCTTCTTGCCCCGGCCTCTGTCACAGTACTGAAAAGCTGATCTGATGAACACAGAATGCTTGCCCCTCTCCCTTGGCGCTGCGGCTACTGAGCACCTTGGGAGGACCTGGTGGACATCGCCATCTCTCTGGTGCTGGAAAATCCTGGTGCAGGGCCCAGGCTATGCTGTTCTTGCCCTTCCTGGCTACACAGTAGTCTTGCTTTCAGCCTGGTCGATGACGGCTGGTTTAGGTCTCACTTTGTTGCAGATTTTATTTTAAACATTTTGCTCATCTTTAAGGGTAAGCTGTCGCTGAGAGTCAGTGGTTATGCAGTTGGGCCTGGCCTGCCCCAGGCCCAGTAATCATGGTACCTGTTCCAAGTTCCAGTTCTCTGTAAGGAAGCTGGGGTTGAGATGTCCTGCCCCAGTACAGCAGTTGCTACTGTCATGCCTCAGAAATGCTTGCTGGACCATCTCCTTCCTTCCTTCCTTCCTTCCTTCCTTCCTTCCTTCCTTCCTTCC